AACAACACAATATAATACCATCTCATAACTACCCCTATTTGTTTTTTTTTGACCAGAACTACCCCTATTTGTTTGCGTCCAAAATAACGGGGAGGAGTACATGTACATGTTCTTGTCAATCTAAAATCCTGGCTTTTAGGTCGACATCCGTATGTTTTGGGTATAACTAAAATGATAGAGCTATGATTTCATTTTGATTGATGAGAAACATCAGGTACGAAAGCTGTTGACATTACTGTATAAACGACGATGATGAATTGATGATGTAAAATTTGCATAAGAGCCTCAAGCCTCGGCTTTGAGGCGCTGCTGGTACAGGGCCAATGAGTCATTGACCCCATAAGTAAGGAGGACAGTCCTATGATGACAACTTTTTACGTGAAAAAGCTTACACCTTTACTGTGTCCAACAGTGAGATTTTGTCAGCTTGTGTGATATCCAGGGGGGAAAATGTGGCTACAGATGCAAGTAACTTTTTTTCTTGGGACAATGAATGTTGCATATATATATATATATATATATATAATATTTTGACCACCCTGTGTTCCTGCAGAAAATTCTCTTTAAGTTCCAAATAATTAATTTGAGGTACAAAAGTGCTAAAGAGTTGGACAGAGAGAAAAGAAGGGGAGTCGGGCCCAATCACGTATGGGCTGTGTTCCTCAGATGAAATCATAAAATCGCACAGAGAGAGAGAGAGGTAAGGAATATATCTGGGCCAGCCCTAGTCTTTTGGTCGTCTTTTCCATCATCCTTTTTGCTCAATTATACACTAGATCATTCTCCCCAATTTACAGAGGAAAAGGGAATAATTTTAGTCGTGGATGAGCATGCTGAGGGAAAAAAAAGCGCATCACGAACTGTGTCATTGATCTCGAAAGAAGTAGAATAATGTCCCTGGTGGACCAACAAAGATATATTTATATAAAGAGATCAGGGTATATTCAACATTCACTTTGTTTGCTGCAATTATTAGTGTCTCGCGTTCCTTTTCACAAAGCAATTTGCTGTTTTTGGGAGGGCGATTATCTTTATTTTTCCAGCGACTCACTCCTCCTGTTGCTTTACTCTCGTGGAGTCATGACCTTTCTACATTGATAGCTTTGCCGGGGCATTTTTCCTTTTCCTCTTTATTCTTTGTTTTGTTTTGCATGTTTCTTTTCGTTTGCTTAGGAATTCAGCCGCAGCGTAACAACCTGGATCCGTCCCAATGTCCGGGCGTGGGTAGAACATGTACAACAAACACTTTGCTTTAAATTAAGCCTCTTCCTCTGGCAGTTGGTTTGGAACAATGCGTGCGAGAGAGAGGGAGAGCGGGAGAGGGATTGGAATCTATGGAAAGTGAAGAGGGCGTGCAAGAGAACAAGAAGATAAAAACAAAAAGAGGGGGTTGGGGTGGGGGTTGGAGTCGGAATCTTCTAAAACAAAAAAACCCCGAGCTTCTTCGCGATATGATGCAGAACGTACGTTCAGAAAGCCCTTCTCTTCTGTGGTTCATGTGAATTCTGACATTGTAGCCCAATTACTATAAAATATTAATCAAGATAGCAAAGGAAGAAGGGATCTGGGTCCCACCCCAAAAAAAGGATTCTGCAAATAGCCAAGGACATCATCGCGCAATCATCAGCCCTCTTGAATCTCGCTACCTCTGGTCCCTGGTATATATATATATCAGCCATCTCGCACATAAATTATAATAAATAAAAAAAAAGGTGTCAAGTTATTTTATCTGTTAATCAGAGCATATATAAATATTATTCATCCCTTTTACTGCAGAGGGAAGCTTGGATTGGAAAAGATGAAGCTGGATTCACTATGAATGCATGCTACTCACAATAATTAAACAGCTTTCCGTGCAAATGAGACTACTGCGCCCACACTCTATTACGTTGGACACTATATAATATGAGCTAGCTGATCGACCCATGGTTTAGATGCTGCTTTGGCATTATTATGACTGCGATATCATCTCAGATTCGATGATTTTTTTTTCCTTTCCCTTTACATATAATGACAGGATTGAAAAGGCCTGACACAGACGAGGTATTCAAATTATTTGAAAAGTGAATGGCCACAATCTTTGATATAACCATGAATAAGCTGGTTGTTAAAACTTGGCCAGTGTATATAATGAAGCTAATGAATTTGCTGTCAAACAACACTGCCCCACTAGGAATATACAATATTAATTAGCGTCTTTGAAAGAAAAGAGCACTGTGCTTTTTAAGATGGATCCATATAGCTTTATTCTGTTTTTGTGAAAAGAAATCACCATGCATGCTGCTGAACACCAGAAATGAACCTTCATTTTTAACCGCAGCGATTCGTCCGTGAACTCAGTCGTACAACTTCATGGCCCCATTCACTTTTGCTCGTTACCTTCCTTTCAGTCTGAGTCATCCATCCCCCTCTACGTTTTCCTTTTTAAATGCCTCTTTTCCCTCTGTGTTGCTAAATTGCAGAATTATTGATTGCAGGTGAAAAATAGATGATGATTATATGAAGAAATGGTTGCATCATGAATTAGTACTGCTAATTACCCGTACGTACACTATCCCACACCACGCACGCATATCTATGTTAGGGGCAGCCTCGTCCATGCTGACTCACCACCTTGTGTAACCATGTTCTTCCCATTTTACTTTAATCATTGCCCATTTAAAGTTTTGGTTCCTGTTCTTTTGTTTTTAAGATATCAATTCATCATTGCATTTTTTACTTTCCGCAACTATCAGGACATTCCTAACATGATAGATAATCAAAATGGTTTCTTGAGAAATGGTTCTTTTCATCTCAATTTCTTGCCTTCGGCCAGTCAGGGAGCCCCTTCTGTTTTTACTTCTACATCAACAGAGAATAAAATTTTCAAACGAATCATTTCTTTCGTGACCATTAATAGCTTAGCATTCAACATTAAATTCATTAGTCGAACTCTGAACTGACCTCCGAGTTTCTTGTATATTATGTCAGGTTTTTAGGAAAAGTAATAAATGATAGCATACGTGCCATGTTTTATGTGGTATGAACTTTAGAAAAGATGAAAAGATTGAAAATAAATCGTACCCACATCATGATTCTATTGTTTGAAAAATATGACAGCATGGTTATAACAAAATATACAGTTTAATTAATCAGCTGATGAGATATTCAACACTCAGCTGTGCTTTTAAGTGAGAAAGGAGGGGGTGGAGAAGCCTGAGCCTTTGAGGGGTGCATAGAGGTAGATGCAGATAAAAGGGTTAGGTCTGGGAAAGCAGCTGTTTGGTAGCAGTCATATACCCTGAAATTCCACCTATTCAACTACATCCCTCTTCTTTGACCATTTTCCCCGGCGACCCTCTATTACATATAATTGCTCCCCCCCCTACATCTAATTAAACCTTTCTCCCAGTAACTTTAATAAGTTCGAGATCTGTCCCTACACTTTCAATAACTTTTTCAAACTGAACTGCTCTTTTTTCCTTTCCTTTTACCATTGGCTGGTTACTAGTCCCTCGGATTTTGGGGAGCAGTGCCTATTGGGCGTTGCCAGGCTTCCTCCCCATCAAAGAATTGAACTTCAGCCACTTCATCAATCCACGCCACGTTCCATTATGCAAAAACACCAAACTGTTGGATATTTATTGCAAACCAATGAGTTTCGAACTTATAATTGCACGAACCAGTTATGGTTTTGGGATTTTAATCCGACTTGGGTTGGATGTCAATGATGACTCTCTAGATACCCCAAATAAATACAAACAGGATACAAACCATAAGTAATGATGAAATAGGCACGTAAATGGTCAAAAGTTCAACAAACCAGTCCTAAATTTCGAAAAATTTCAACGAAAGGGCCTCCAACATTTGCTTTAAGGAACAATTTTAGTAGCGTTTCAAAATAGTCGTCTCAAAGGAGTCCAACTGGCTTGGAGTTTCTTGCAACTCATAAGAATTAAGAACTCTCTGAAAAAGGAGAAACGGCCGCCGGCTTCGCAGATGTTTCCTCTTTGATTTTAATGTCAGCGCCCCTATATGTCATTATTCACTTTGCGCAGAGATGAGCCTTAGTTTTCGAAGAACTTTTGTTTCCATGGACCCCATGCCCCACGTAGTCTTCTCTCTGTCCTCCATTTCCACCCTCTCTAGTCCACTCTCTGAACTCACTCTGGAATATTTCACCGAGTTGAACTGAGGGGCTAATTATTGGCCGAATTAACAATGAGGCAAAAGAAGGGTGTGATTTCAAAATCATTAAAATACATGGACCAATTTCAAAATTATAGTGAAACTAGACAGACAGATTTTTCCTTGATATATATGTAATATAATGCGCATCCATCACCTTTTTCGATTTGTGCTTATTTAATGTAGTAAAAGCAGCGGTCACTATTGGAGCCAAATCATGATCCCACAAAAGCTGATTTTATTAGTAAAGGCTAATCTAATCATCATCCAGATGATTCACATCTGTAATTGTACGTACGATTTCAATTGTTCATATATACATAATTTGCTCCAAACCATTCTCCTCGATTATCCAACCCCGGCATCTGGCCCCACGTGCCACTCTGCTGAATTGTGATTCTTTCTAATTTTGATTTTAAAATACTTCATAACCCTGTTATCAGCGACTGATAATGTAATATCAATACAAAATATGGATGATATTAGAAAATTAAACTATTCACTTGTTATCAGTTGTACAATTCATTTTGAATTCAATATCTAGCTTTTACAAAACAAGACAGAAACAAAAGAGAGAAGGAACAAGAGGTTTTAAAAAAAGTGGGTCATAGATATATTATATATTTTGTGTGAGATGGTAGGATTGAAATAATGAAAGAAGAAAGGGGAGAAGATCAGGAGGGGGGGGGTATGGCATTAATTAGCAGAGTGATTGGGGAAGAGAGGGAAGATGGGGGCCTACCACCATGAAAAGAAGATGGCAGGCACAACAGAATTGACCAACCCTCGCTTTCTGTGTCTGCTTCACAGCCTCCCTCCCCAAATCATCAGAATATCAAAATCACATCATTATTCACTGGCAATACAGAAGGAATCACCCAAAAAACAACTTCCTCCCTTACATACATACACATCAAGGCCCTCCTCCTCTGATCTTCACTAACTATCATTCATTCACCCAACTCTTAGCAAAATTATATATTAAACACAGTTCACCCCAATTCATTCATAATTTCTCACTTCTGCTCATTCCAGCCATACAAAATTCTCAGGCAATTAGCTTATTCATGTTCGGATCCTGATTCTGCATGCGCACTCTCTCGTTCGATCCTCTCCATCGTTTTGTGCACTGCTCCTGCTATCTCCTCCACTGATCCCAGCTTGCACTCTTCTTCTAACTGCTTCCACCCAATTTCTCATCATTAATTACTCACTTCTCATCATTAAATTAAATTCCCCGCCAAAATTATATAAATATATATATGCATACCTTGACGCTGATGCTGTAGAGCACAATATCGCCGGTGGTCGTCACATTGAGATGCAAGATCGTGAGGCGCATGCTGTACAACGCCGCCACCATCTTCAACAGCTGCTTCGGCCTCTTCCTCGACCTTATTTTCACATTCGCGTGGCTCTCCACCATTGTCACTTCTATATCTGCTATGCTGGCCTCCGGCGATGCCTCCCCCACTTTCTCCCCCGTCGCCGAACACTCGCCGCTTCCGCTCGGGCTCGTCGTGTACTGAGGAAACGTGAAGAACTCTGAGAACGGCATGCTCTGAGATTTCGCCTCTGTTTCTTTCTGACCCCCCAGAAATTGCAGCCTCTGCTCCAGCTCCTTCACAAAGTTAATAGCCCCTCCTATTATGGAAGCTTGATCGCCCTGGATAATTATTATAAGAAAGCAACGTAATCAACACTCCATCCATCCCTCCTGAAACTATGTAATGAATGAAATCAAAAGAAAAGTACCCTTTGGACGTAGGAGTCGGGCATGAGAGAGCGTAGGACAGAGAGATACTCGTTCATCTGCTTTCTTCGATTGCGCTCCACCGCAATGTGCGTCATTCTCTGGTTCTCGATCTCCTCCTTGTTCTTTCGGGTTCTGGCTCTGCGTCTCTTGGGACGAGAATTGGAGGAATCCATGGGGAGGGCTTCAGACGAGGGTGCTGGGTGGTTGCTGGCTTCGGAGGTGGCGTGATTAGGGAGATGAAGTTCACTGGAGTGGGGTAACACTGATGAAGGAGGAGAAGAAGAGCAAACTTGAGTCCAGTCGCCGAAGCCATAATTTTCTGTTTGGCTGTCGAGAAAATTCAGAAAGCCGTGCTGGTCTTCCTGTTTGGGAAGGTTGAAATCGTCGTGAAAGGGCCAGAGAGGATGGAAGTCTTTGGAACCGCCATAGCCAAACGGGTAGTCTTGAGGGAAAACAACAGCTTCGAGGGCCATGGAGGTCTGGCTATCTCTCTCTCCCTCAGGGAGACACATAAATGCAACACTCGAATTTTGACGTCGATGGAAATCTGGTGGTGACGAGTCAGAGATTTCAGAAATAAAAATTATACAACCGAAGCGAGATGCGATTCTCCTCGGGAGCACATCCTTGTGCTTATAAAGCCAAACCCTCACCTCACTTACACAGTGGACAGTGCTCTTGCACGTGAAATATATATATATAATTAATAATGAAATTCATTCTTTTTATTTTTTTTATTATTGTTCCGACACAAACATGTATGCGAAACAAACCAAAAAAAGGGGGAAATTGCTCGGAGTGTGTATGGCATGTAAAATGAACTTATAGGAAAAAATGCTAATATATTGTGCTTTCAACTCCAAATTTCAACTCTTGACCAGTATCAAAACAGCACTCACTGTTAATTTCTCACATGATTGAAGGATTTAACGATGGTTTTTCACACACCCGTCTCGTGTATTAGATCCATAATAAACAAATGACCATGATTAGATGTGAAATAGCTTTCTTTTTACGAAAAATATGGGAATTAATTAAAATAATTAAATGTAGAGTTATCACCATCAAAACGCATAGCAATAGCTAATCATTGTGGTCATAAAGAGTTGCATCCTGTTCCCTGTCGTGTCCCATGCTGGCTATTATTAAGTTGCTCTCGTGAGTCATATATATATCTCAATTTATCTCCGAACGCCCCATTGTGAAATGACTACTGTTTTCTCTACACACACACACACATGGCATATGGATACCCCCCCCCCCCAAAAAAAAAACTTTCTTTTGCGTTATCAATATCTTTTCCATTTATATGGAAAGTGAAGACGAAATTGCATAGCATGTGAATCAGCAACTAGGGAACAGCTTTTCTGCGATATCGGTGTTCATCTGTCGTGGTACAAGACAAAAGTAAAAATAACTGGAAATTAACTTGACATGAAAGACAAACGCATATTTTAATCCCAAACTATACATATATTAAGAAAAATGGTGAAGTTTGCATTGTGAGGCTGCGCGTGCACGTGAAAGCTTAGTTCAGAAGCAGTTGTATGAAGGAGGGTGAGGAGCGAATGAAAAGAGAGTTAAGATTGATGGAAGACAAAAGGAGGAGGAGGAAGGTGGAGATCGATCGTGATTAGGGCAATAATTACAGAACCAATGAAACACGCAAAAAGAAAACTAAAGGCTGACACAAAATACACACACAGAGATATACACATATATTCAGCGATCAGAGATTCCTCAGAGAAAAAGCTTATGAACTTTGTCCATTAAGATAAAAGAGAGGGAGCAGCACCAGAAACAGAAGCAGTCAGAAATTTGCAGCGAATCCATGTGCTTCAAAACCAACACTAGCTGTCAAGCCTTCCATAATAGGGAAACCCTACGTTCCTAACTCCCAAAAATTACTCCTCCTCTATAATATTACAACTTGGCTTCCACCGTGGCTTCCTGATGTCTTTATATGATTAGTCTCCATGTTATCAAATTGAGAATTCTCTGAAATTTCTCGTAATACAATTAAAGAACAGTAGACACGAAGCATGACACCAGGCATTACAGAAGTCAGAAAGAGAGTGACCATAGATGAGCATCATGCCAGGCACCATTTAATGTTACACGCTGATGAGTTCGTTGATAAGTGCTCTCAATTTTTTTTTTTAAAGTGTTGGATAGAATAATGCAATTATATGTGGCAGCCACCTGATTAAGTACATACTACCTCCGGTTCTTAATATAAGATTTTGTTTGACTTTTATTTTGGTCCTAAATATAAGACCTTAATCCACTTTGTCTATCATATTTATGTATTTTTTTTCAAGATAGTCCTTCTAACAATAATAGCTCTAGCCAATACACTTGATTGGCAATGATATTTTAGGAAAGACAACATCTTTTTATTATAAATAACTAACTTAACTTATTTTCTTAATCTCCTCAAATTAGTCAACTGGTTCTTATAATTAGGACCGGAGGTAGTATATAGCTAATAGTTTTATTATTGATATCAAAAGTTTTGGCAACCTAAAGAACTATTAAATAAACATTAGACTCAACTGGCGCTTGATCATTGAATGAATAAAAATTGATACCTTGAAAATGAAGTGTATTGAGGACAATTAGTCCCGTTAGATGAGCCCTTTTATTACCTAAGAGAAAAAACACAGCATAATATATTCATGCACAGAAGAAAGAATCTTCTCAGTGGTCGTCACAATTACTAAGTTGTGAGGTTAAGATGCTTCAAACACTGTGGCAAATGAGAAATTATGCAACTCTTGTCACCTTTGTCCTTTTATAAGTGGGGGCCTCTTGCCCTTAATTATATTGTAGGTTTATACTTTAAAATACTGTCATTAGTGAATATAATAAGCATTAGTAGACTGTGCTGCTGATGTGGCTTTTTCGAGAATGATATTATGTAATATATACATCACCTGAACTGGGAAGAGTTGTCTATTGCCCCAGTTATTATTAATAAACACACAGCGTCCTAAGCTGCACATGTTGTTTTAATAAAAAAGTCCTGCTCATATTAACTTATTTCTCAGGAATCTATCGTATTTTATGTGCTGTGTGTATTGATGTGATGATATTTTATTAAATTTTGTTCTGAGATGGATGTGAACGGAATTAATATATTTCTAAAGACAGACTGCCCCAATATGTTACTAAAAATGTTTTATGGTATTTCCATATTTAAAATCACAAGTGATTTTAATGTTATATATTAAATACTCCTCCGGTTTTTAATATGGGACCCAATTAAAAAGTTAATCTTGGTCTTAAATATAGGACCCATTTCTCATATTTTTTTCATTCTTTCCTAAATTATCCCTATTAAATAATTAAATACCACAATAATACTTATTATTCATTAATAGTACACCTATATATTTTATAAAGTGAATGAGTAATTTAATCAAAGTAGTTAAATAGGTCTTATATTAAGGATCGGAGGAGTAATATGACAACTATTATATATAAACATAAAATAGGATTGTAAAAACTTTGAAAACTTTGAGAAATTGGTGGCCGCATTGATAATGCTCCTATTGTTGTATCCCCCGTCGTTATTACCGACAACCTGGTTGAACACATTAAATTAAGTATTATGGGCTTTTGTTTCTATTGTGCATACTCCTCTGATCCTATTTATAAAACACTTTCAACACGTTTCACGCAGGTTAAGAAAAATCTTAAACTGTATTAACCTTTCATTAAAATATAGCAACGTTTTAATTTTATTCCTGTTTAATATATATCCCTTTAAAAAAAATAACTATCTATGTTATAATAAATGAAGAACAATATGATACATTCATAATAAAAATTTAATAAAGTGACTTATAAATAGGACAAAAAAAATCTTTTCTATCTGCCTTATAAATAGGACCAGAGGAGTATAAAAATAGTGATATTTAATTAATACCGCAAAGCTTGTAATTTAAGCATATATGCACACCCGAGAGGTGCGTATATATGTACATGGAATACGAGGACACGAAAACCCAGGTACTCATCATACGCCATAAATGTGGAGTCTGGATTAATCATCAGCTAATGATGATATAGTATATTTTAACCCGATAGGTCAAATTAATTATCAATTAATTTCAAAAATGTGATTAGCAGTGTCATGATCAAGTGAGCACCGTCCACTAGAAATTCAAGCCGATAGAGGATCAAGGATGGAAGACAGAGTTGGTAAATCCACGCTAAACTACAATATAATCAGCAATTAGTGGATGTAGTTAGGGCTATGGCCATTAATTAGGCATTAGGCCGGCCGGTTCAATATCTCAAAGCGATACCCTTCGCTGCACAAGTCAAGATATTAGCTACAACAAATATACACAGTCATGAATGGAATTGGATATATCTATATATATAAACAAAAGACTCAACAGGACTACATGCGTTTAATCTCTCGTGTTGGCGTCAATTTGCAATTTTATTGGCAAATTAAGGTCACTAGTATTGATTAATTTATTAATTAATCTGCTAGTGACAATTAATCCAGTCGAATTATTATACGCGCAACGGCTTAACTGATTTGCGGCGTTGTCGTGCAAGTTGGGGTTGAAGAGGGGAGAGAGAAAGGTCTGGTTCATTTGTATCTCGATAATAATACAGGAATCAATCAGTCTTAGTTTGTCAGTATCCCTAACTATGTGGTTGATCAGCGTACGCGAGCATAGACGGGAACAGATGAGGTTTAATTTCAAGGATTCGGATTTTGTTGTTGCCCTAGAACGACGAAACAAAACCCAGCGGCCTACTTTTCGCTTTGTCCCTTGCGCTTGCGCAAGATTAATTATCACATGGATGCATGCTTATCGTTATATATTATAACCCCTATTCTAGTCTACACAGCTCATCGCCCTAATGTTGTGATGATATGACTTAATTTATTTATTCAACCTTTCAAACACTGTATCAAAGCAAAATTCTACGAAAACGCAAAAGTGAGAAATGTATATTCGTGCAGGGTTAAACCTAAGCCGGAATTATATATATTGCCAGTGAGGGACCATACTGAAAAGTATTAGGGCAGTGTTCCAAGATTTCGGGATAGTGAAGCCATATATAATAATATTGGCTGAGGGACCATTATCATCATATCATTTCAAATTCCAAAATCAGATCTAAAAGCTGCATTACCCATCTAGCTATACATAAGCATGTATTAACTTTGGTTTCTGATCGATATATATGTACACACATATAAAAACCATTAGCTGGTCCACGTGAGTGAATTGTAATATGCACAGTTGCCTTTCAGCATGATCTGATTATAGAATGGTGCAGTGTATGACTACACGCAGAGGGAGAGAGACCAGACATGTGTGGATTCATCATATGAAGATCGTACCAGGAAATTGATATATGAAGAGCGGAGAAGGCAAACTCGCTTTGTGCTACGACTAATATATAGCTAGCCGGTTTAGCTGTCAAGGCATGGATGCAAGGAAAGAGTGTCCCCGAGAAAAGGAGGAAGAAAAAGTCCTTGCTTTATTCTCACTTCACTGTGAACTGTGGAAGCATGAAAAGCAGTAATGAATTTGATAGGGATTAGCGCTGGGTGACAAAAAACCTTATCACTTTAAAATCTC